ATCGGCCAAATGCGACTGCTAGACGCAAATATCGCAAATGAGTCCTCTTGTTGTAAAACAAAAAAAATACCAAGCATGTTTGTGCTCATTGCCCCCGCAGGGATTTCGCCCCAGAAGGCGAAATCCCGAGGAGGCACTCTAGTAACTCGCGCGTATATTAAGGAAAGTAGTTACAGTTGAAATATACAGTCATACAGTCAATATAGAAGAAATCTCGATTTGCTTGAACAGGGGCCGCGAGGAATGATCAGGAATCGGTGGGTAATGATGACGTTTCTATTGTTTGCGCCCGGAAGCACGAAATGGTTAGGATGACGTAAAGACAGAACATCCCCAAGGGACCTCTTAGGTAGATTTTGTGTCATTTATTGTGCAGTCATACTTCGACACTCTTTTGCGTTACGTGTGATCAGTGACATTCTGTGGAGCAGTTGTTTCAGTGAAAGTTATGGCCCAAAATTTTAACGACGCTTGTTAAGCGCAGAAGAAGTTATAAGGTGCGTATAACTGTGTATATATAAACACTTGGAGAGTTTGCCAGACACGAGTTCACAAATCTTTCATTGGTCTTCATTGGAAACCTTGCCAGACACTCTTTCTCTCTCTTTGACCGGAATAAGACTCAGCCCCAAACAAGCAAGACGAGTGAACAACGGCTAGCTTCTCACTAGCAGAACAATGGACGATTACAGAAATTCGCCGACAATCAAATTCTGTGCTGACTTATTCCCTGCTCACAGATGTCCTTCCGCTATAAAGTGTAAAATAAGACTGGAATGCGCGAGTGTGAACGGATCAAACGTCCTTTTAATTTCTAAGACTTCCTTTCCGGCAAATAAAATGAACTGAATGTAAAAAGTGAAAGAGAAATAACGAAAAATTCAACTGCTAATTGAATCTTTTCTTCTGGTTTAGAATAAACTATTCTCGGAACTGAGAATGTTTTGATCAAAGATGTGTAAATGGACCTGAAACTGTGCATGGAACCTTGCGTTTCCTATATTTATCTCACCTATTGTATGGAATATGAGTGAAAATCTTCCTTATGAATCGGTATATTTCAAAGAGCTACACAACGAGCAAGAATGCTATTGACCGGCAATTTATAGAGCGGGGGCAGCTGTAGTGTCAACTATTACTAGTTTATCCTGTTATGAGCCAGATATTTTGCATAAACAATGCAACCGTATATAACAAAACAGCAAGTGGTAACGTTGCGAGTATGCGCGAGCCGCTGGACGGAAGTTTGTGGTGGTATTGGATCGCAGCGAACGCAGCAAAAAAAAATGGCGCCTCTTTTAAAAATTACCATCGTCTTAGTCATCCGTTCTATTTTTGTGGAGTGCAGATAAGACAAAGTCTTCTGTGTAATATGCGAGATTGGTCTCAAGGATAATAAGTCGCAGATCGTTCACAATTTTACGCTTTGATGGGGTTCTGTGTGGGTAACTGGGAAAAAATCTCATATAAGTTGTGACCGAGTACAAAACGTCCGACGCTTAAGATTTGAATAAAACGCTGTGAAAAAAATTCTAAATGCTGTGCGACAATCTCCTTGCAATAATACGATTCCACGTCAGTTATGGTTCAGGAACGCCCTGTTGTTTAGAGATGTGCAACCAGAACCTTAGTGCAGTGATTCTGCCAGTGATTAATTTTCAGAGATACCCTATCCTAACCACCAGTGTCCAGACGAGGTGCAGTGCCCTGATTCTGTGACTGATAAAATTTCAAAGATATCCCACCCAGGGCTACGAAATTGTATCTTTCCATTTTTGACTAGATGATATAAAACTAAAGACCCAAACTCTAGAAATGACATCTATTAAATGTATGTGATGCCTTAACATATTCAGGGGTGTAGACAGAATTTTGTAATATGGAGGCTCTTGAATCCAAGATGCCCCTTATACCTCTAAAATAAAGAATTAGATGAGCCAAGAGAGGAGAGTGGTACAAGATGTGTCATATTACAGATGTGTTTTATTGAGGTAACCCTAACAATGAAAAATCCTTCCCTTTACTCCCCACACTTCTACATACTAGAAAACTGCAAATATGCACACAACAGTGAAAATACTTAAAATAGTAAAGATCAAAGTCATATTTAAAACTGCATTTTCTCCCTGAGATATTGAAGTGAATTTTCTGCTTCTGGTACTTCCATGCTTGCACTCATTTTTGCTTTTCAGAAATTTTGTTGTTGGTATTTTTTACTGCAGATGTGTTAATTATTTAATATATAACTAATAAGGCTTAGCTCCCTTGACTAACCCATATCTATGTGGGGCCAAGGTCTTATGATTTGAAGATTAAGAAATTGAAAATGAGAGAAAATTAGCTCTAACTTTTCCTGTTCATTCAATTTCAACATGTGGAGAACTTAAGGATCTTAAAGCCTGATAGCTTCAAGTGAGCCAATGTATGACTCAATAAAATTAAAGCTTGTCTGTGTGTCTTCTGGGGCACCAAGGCTATTTGATGCAGTTCAGGATGGAGTGACAGACCCTTCACATTCTGCAGACAGCATAGGGTTAAATAAAAAACAGATAGTCGCCATTTTGTACCAGCTCTGCTATGGCTTGAGTGAAAAGTGCAACTGGTTTGAATGTGACGATGCAGTCGTCCTCAATAACTATCACTTGGATCAACAAGGTTTTGTGCTGAGCATCTCATAGGGAGCTCCTGCAACAGGCAAAAGGCAAATGAAATTTTCCATAACTTGTCATCTTGCAACACCAGGAGCATCAATTGCAACTTGTGCAGTCTATGATAGATGACTATATACACTACTACTGTGTATACACAGCCGAACTGACATTGGCAAGCCATAAGTGCTCCTAAATTCATGTGCACAAACACTGAATATATGAGACCCAGAGTATCAAAAGAATTATTTCTAGCGGACAGTGGAAAGTTACTCCTATGGCATTTTGTTGTTGCACACAACTAGTGATACCCCTTTAGATATTCAGAATTTCCAAAGTGTGATGGATACGAATTTATATTCAAGAAGGAAAGAAATCTTTTGGATAGAAAAGGAATGATAACATTATATTTTATGATTTTTGTTAGCATACAAATACATTGTATCTGATGGAGCTAATTCTTATCTGGATGCCAATGCAAGGAATCAAATTCACAGATTTCATGTCCAGTGTAGTCTGTGCCTCAAACAGGAATGGCAGTCCAGCAAGTGCAAAGCTGAACAAGGCAAAGAATTGTTTTACGCTTGAACTTGTGATAGTGTCAAAGTGGGAGTAATATCATAATGGTCACATGAAAATGCATTAAATCACACTTATCATATTTTATAGTAGGGCAGGGAAAAGAATGCACATATGTGTATTTTCATATTTTATATTGATTTCAGTTATGTTTCAAGACATTATGTAAACATTTTAAGCATAACATTAAAATTCTTTTAGGCGCCAATTTTATATGTATAAACAAACTCATCATAGAATAATCATCTTCCAAAATGGTGAGGGTTCTTGTCAATGAATCTTAGAGCTTACAGTGCATGATTATTAAAACGCAAATTCATCAGTGTTCCCCCCCTTGGATGCAAAATCAAACATTCAAGAATGAAAGAGTGTTCCGAAACAATGCTTTTACAAATAAGTTTTGTTGGGATATACTTTTACATGTTCACGAAAAATCTGAAAACAAGGTTGAAAAGGACAAGAAAAATTTGTCTATCTTAAACGAAGTTTTAGCAAATAATATTTCACGATCCACTGCCTCGATCTCTTAATCTCCGAGAATAAGTAATCGCCATAGAGCACCAATGTAAACCAGAAAAGCAAATTTTCGAAAATGGAAGGAAACATCCGACTACGGCCTTACTTGTAAGAGCAGGAAATTTGCTTGTTGATTTCATGCCGCTAAATAGTATCAAAATACTCGAACTTCCCCACTTTGAATTAACCATTAAAAGTGAAAATACGGAGTGACCGAAAGAGACGTTTAACGTGTTTAGTCGCTTGTGTGGGATATATAACTGGATCTCGCTGTACAGTCAGGGTCAAATACTACAAAAATACGGGGGTCACATAAATTGCGTTGAATTCAGGCTGCTACAATTTTAACACATAACATTCGATGATGCAGCTCCACATTTTACAAAGTAAATGAAGGGGTATATCTTACCTAAATGCTAAGTAGCTCTGCAGATCATGGACGATAACCCACAAATCCGTGACCGCTTGAATGTCAACAAATCAACACATCACAACAAGCGAACTCGTGAACGCTTTATCTGCTTCATCAGAGGAGCCAAATGGATGAAAATTAACCAGCTAAATGGTCCTTCTCACATACATGACACTTCAACATGGCTTAGCCAAAGTATCCAATCTATAACACATGTCTGCTATTGACTGGGTATGCAAAAAAATCTCCCTTGAAAGTGCTTCAGGACAGCTTTCGGCCATTACGATTTCCGGTCAACAAGTGCTTCCCAGAAAGACTGACTCATGCGCAAACGTTACCACTTGCTGTTATATAACAAACATAAATAACCATATATAGCTAGATTAGCTGATTTATTATTCATCGTTGTCATTTATCGCGTGCATTTCCACTAAACTTGATCGCCATATTTATAGGAATCAAGTACCATACAAAATTACATTTACTTTGACCCAACGAAGGATTTACACAATTTCGAGCAATACTGACAAGAAAGCGAGGTTGCCAGTGTGATAACACAGCGAGCCACACGTTCAAGCGGTTACTGAACAGACATTTTAATCTCTATCAAGTGCCCCCGAAGGTACAAACGAAACTGAATATATAATGAGTCTAGCAGCACGTGCAAATGAAATTCAACACTGGACGTGAAAATTACAATATTATAACACCCTTCCTTTTATAGAGAAATAAGAAAACAACTTAACGGAAAAAAAAAACGTGAAACCAAAACAAACGACTAAGCACATTTAGTTAATGAAATTCAGTTCTTTGGAAAGAGTTCTTAGGCTTAAGAAAGCACATAGTCCTGTAGACGCTTGGGCGGCTGACGGACTCGCGTGGACCTTCGATCTCGGTGCCTGTAAAGGATTGGGCGACTTAGGTGCGTCCGGCACCGAAGACAACGGATTGGGCGGCTGGTCGAATGTTTCCACGCGTGTACCTGGAGGTGCCTGTTCGCGTGTATCTTCGCGTGTCTTTGTGTTTCTATTGTGCTTGGAATTAAAAACGAGGACAATACGATCACGGATTAAACTATCCCGCAAACAATCGCAAAAATTACATGTTTTGGCCAGATTCCTCAACTCGGCAACAAAACTATCAATCGACTCCGTTGGAAGCTTGTCTCTCATATTAAAACAGTATCGTTCGCAAATTTTGTTGACTTCGCCGATGCAATGCTTCTCCATTTTTCCCATTACAATGCGCCAATCACTCGAGTTCACCCCCTCGGCGTAGTTGAATGTTTTGATGACTTTCAACGCATCATCTCCGATCGTATGTTTGAACATCGCCAATTGAAACTTCGGGGTTTCCCGATCCAAACGAGAAATGACAAAATAATTGTTATATTTCTCCTTCCAGAAGCTTCCAGTTTTCGGCAATTTCTCCACTATGTTTCAAGTCAAGGTACTTCGGCGGAGCAATCTGATGAAAAGTCGACGATGGCGGCGCTACAGCACCAGACTGTCCATTGGAGGTATCACCACCGGGCATGCTCTATAACGTAGACGGTTAAAAAAAAAAAACAAAAAAAACGAAGCAGAAGCGGCCAGCGCTGCCACCATGTAATAACGCAGCGAGCCACACGTTCAAGCGGTTACTGAACAGACATTTTAATCTCTATCAAGTGCCCCCGAAGGTACAAACGAAACTGAATATATAATGAGTCTAGTTCAACACAGGGCGTGAAAATTACAATATTATAACAGGCAGCAACTACAAACATTTTGGGAGTACGAGCAAGCGAGCACTCGTTTAAATTTTGCGAGCAAATCGAGCAAAGGTAAAATTTTGCGAGCGGTTAAAAATTTTAATGGACCATTCATCACCCCTGTTATTTGAACCAAGTCCAAACGTGAAAACGCACGTTTATTTATCTTACTCAGTCCCAAGTATATGACTATGATTACCGATTCAACAAGCCGCAACATCGAAATAAAAAGTTAAATCAAGCTGTGTAGTGTGAACAAGCTAATTTTGTGGTAAGTACTATGTATGCTAATGAAAACTCCCTCCTCCGTTAGTATGAGCGCCGCTCAAGTCACAAGTCTACACAAAGAACGCTTTAACTTTATTTATTATTTGTCACCTTGCTAAGTTAGATGAAAGTACGCAAACGGAGCAACTTCAGAATACCCGGACACATTATATACATAAACTAGTTTATAGAGTTAGAAGATTCAACAAGTCGCAAAATCGACGTAGAAATTGAACCGACTGTCAAGTGAGGCCGAAGCTAATTTCGTATATATGTTAATGAAAAGTCTAACGTTCTTTAGCTTAAGCGCCGCTCGCGCTTCACAAGTCTACACAAAGACCGTAAACAGTGGTTTCTTTAGTGCGCTGCTCGCGCTTTACAAGGCTACACAAAGACCGTAAACGGTGGTTAATTTCATTTTTATACACATCTTAATGTCCAGTTTTACAATCACACGTTTCTTAAATCATTTTAAGCAAAATATCTTTCACACATTCTATTCGTAGACGACCGGGTTCCGCCATGATAAAGTTTTTAAAAACATTCGAACTTTTTTTGAGATGTTTTAGCGCGTTGTTTTTCTAGATATCGAGGATAGAATGGAAGGAATAATACAAGGAACAAGGACTTTTAACAATATCTTATCTTTCTTATGGCCTCGTTGCCTGGGGCCAGGCTGCAAAAACTCATTTGGAGAAACTCCTTACATTACAAAAGAGAGCTGTGCGCGTAATTAACTTCGCATCTTTCCGCTCTCATGCCGTCCCTTACTTTCTTCACTCTAATATTATGCCTATCACAATGCTCTATTTTAAGCTTTCTTCGATGTTAATGTTTGATGTTTACAATAACACTGCCCTTCATAATATTTCACATCTCTTTATTCCTACTCAACAAATCCACTCTTACAGCACTTGCTCCTCCTCTTCTGGAAATTATTACATTAACCACTCTAGACTAAATCAGAAAAATGATTCGTTTTCTATTATGGGAGCCAAAATTTGGAATAGTATACCTGAAAATTTACGAAATTCTTCAAAATCTCTCTTTAAGGAAAAGGTTCATACAATTCTGTTGAAAATATTTGAAGTTCAGGATAGATATGCTGACCTAAACACGATAATCTCCGATTTTAAAAAATATTAAATATGGTACTTTTTCACTTCAACTATTCGTAATAAATCTTAAGCCGTCTACACACCACCTGCCTCGATTAGCCTTGCTATTTGCAGGTGGTGTGATATTTGTATATTTAATGTAAGAAATAAAGATGTTGTTGTTAAAAAAAAAAAAACAAAAAAAAAAAATTAAGATTTAAAGCTTCAACATATGAATAGTAGGCGAACTGACATATAAGACGTAGGCGAATCGACTCCAGTCGTAGACACTTATGTGCCCTATAATATCTAACCTATAGACACATACATGTTCAACCTCAATCATCCCCAAAATAGCCTGGAAGCTTTACCTTTTCATGACCTGGATGACAGAGAATTTCAGATTCTAGATGGATCCTGTCACTTGCAGATAGATAATTTAAAAGATTTAGATTTATATAATTTGCTACCCAACCCTGATAAATCTGATGATGCTGACCCTGATCATATATTAATTAACCCTCAATCTGATTACTATGATATTTCTAGTTTGAATAAGGTTCTAAGTAAATCAGGAGCAAAATCCTTCTCATTTCTTCACTGTAATATTAGAAGCCTGTCAAAAAATATTGGCTTCCTTGAAGATATGCTGTATTCTTTAAGTGAACAACTTGATGTATTAGGAGTTTCCGAAACCAGGCTAAATGCAAATACCACTTTGAATACTGAGTTGATTAACTATAGCATCTAGCTGATTCTCCCACCCCAACGGGAGGGGTTGCTCTTTATGTCAGTAAAGCTTTAACATCATTTCCAAGGTCAGATATAACTTTGGATATGCCCCTTGTGGAATCTGTTTGGGTTGAAATAGCTACTCCCAAAAACCAAAAACCATCTTGGTTGGCTGATCATCTACAAACATCCAGGTGCGAATATTGATGAATTTAATGGGAAACTTGACGAAACAATGAAGATATTTAACCCAAACATGTGCCAATTGTATATCCTTGGTGATATGAATATAGACTTTTTTAAATGTGATAGTCATCCACCTACAAAGGCTTACCTTGACATGCTATATTCTAATAATTTATTACCAATTATTACTAAACCAACACGTCTAACCTATCATTCAGCTACATTAATTGATCATATCTATACCAACAGTACATCCAAAATTGTCTCTGGGATTGTAATGGTGGATATCTCTGATCACCTCCCAGTTGTCTGTGTTACAAATATACCAGTTAAGAAACACAACCCTATTAAGTATTATCGAGATTACAGCAATTTTGATCAAGAATCTTACTTAGGGGATATCAATGCAGTCAACTGGAATGCTATCTATAGAAATGATCTGCATGAGACAGCTACTAAAATAACTGACCTGATTACATCAATTGCAGATAAACATGCACCAATTAGGCAATTGTCCCAAAAGAAACAGAAATTGTGTACTAAGCCGTGGATAACTAATGGTATTCTTAAATCAATCAAAACTAAGCATGAATTATACAAAACACACTTTCTTTCTAACAATCCAATTAAGGTGACGGAATATAAAAAGTATGCTAACAAACTGAATTGGCTTAAGAACATTTGCAAAAAGAACTACTTTTCAAAACACTTTGACCTATGTAAAAACAACCTGAAGGCATCTTGGAAATTGATTGGTATGCTAGTTAAGCGCAACTCAAAGGGACAAAACCCCATCTCGAAAATTAAACGTAATAATAGAGCTTACACTAATAAGGCTGAGATTGCCGATCAATTTAATAAGCATTTTGTCAATGTGGGTCAAAACCTGGCCAAAAGAATTGAAAATTGTGATGGAAGTCCGACCCAATTCATAAGATCGACTCCAGTAGCTAGCTTTGTTATGTCCTGTGTTACTGAAACCCAAGTATGTTCACTATTTAAAGGTTTAAATGATCATAAGTCATCCTTAGATATTCCTAATAAATTAATTAAAATAGCTGCCCAGCCATTGTCAATACCTTTAACATATATCTATAACCAGTCTATTGAAACTGGAATTGTTCCTGATATTTTAAAAGTCTCACAAATTTCCCCAGTGTGTAAGGGTGGTGATGCTACAGACCCTAGCAACTATCGGCCCATAGCTACTCTCTCACCTTTTAGTAAAGTGCTCGAGCGTCTAGTCTATAATCAGTTATATTCGTTCATAGATAAACATCAAATCTTGTACAAATATCAGTTTGGATTTGGGAAAGGATATTCCACTGAACAAGCTATTCTTGAAATTACTGACAATCTGAAGCTAGCTACTGACAAAGGTCAAATAATATGTGGTTTATTTCTCGAACTATCAAAGGCATTTGACACAGTAAATCATAAAATAATACTCTCTAAACTATATCTGTATGGAATTCGGGGTGCACCACATAACTGGTTTGAACGTTATTTGCACAATCGAAGACAATATGTTAAAAACTGACTCTACTAAATCTAGCTATGAAAATATTACCTGCGGAATACCACAAGGCTCGACTCTGGGTCCTCTTTTATTTTTGCTCTATGTGAACGACTTACCAAACTGTGTCGACAAACTTTCGGTGCGGAGCTTTGCTGGTGACACCAATTTATTTTATTCTAGCGACAACTTAAAACAGCTTGAATCCGTAATGAATCAAGAGCTTAAACAACTTTATAACTACTGTGCTCTAAATAAGTTATCTATTAACACTGCAAAGACTAATTACATGTTAGTCTCATCATCTAGGTGCCACCCAACGATAAATATCACTGGTATTGAACAGAAAGATTACATAAAGTAATTGGGAGTTTATATAGATAAACATCTCAACTGGCAACCACAGATACAACATGTAAATAATAAATTAGCTAAAAATTTAGGAATCCTTTCAAAACTAAGATATTACATAGATCTGAATATACTGAAACAAATTTATTATGCTTTAATATATCCCTATTTGAGTTACGGTATTCTTGCTTGGGGCTGTGCCAGCAAAACCAGATTAGATTGTCTTCGTATTAAGCATAACAAATGTCTCCGCACCATCTTCTTTGTACATCCTAGAGAGAGTGCTGCTCCCTGTTTCAAACTTCTAACAATCCTCAAATTAGATAATATATATAAATGAAAAATATGTTGCTTTATACAGAGAATGAGAAATGAGACTGATAGCATTCCAGATATTTTCCTTGATGTCCTGACTCCAGCGTCGCGTATACACAATCATAATACAAGATTTGTCAGTAATCTGAACTGTTTTAGGCCAAGAGTATCCACCAACTTAGGTAAGACTCCCTTTAAATTCTCCGCTCCTAAAATCTGGGAGACTGTACCGCCTGGTCTCAAGTGCCTGCCATATCATAAGTTTAAGAAAGAATGGAATCCCTGTCTTCTAAGCAACCAAATCTGACCTTGCTTGTATCTTCTATCACTGATATTGTTTGAGAATTAATTCCTCTCTTTACTGCTGCCAATTATTTCAACATGACGGTGTCCAACAAGAAAGCTTTTGCTACTTTGGACACCGTACACAAATGAACTTAATGTCTTTTAGTTAATTATTATTTGTCAGCTACTTTATTTTCCTACCTACATACACTTATGTAAATATCTTACGTGGTGTGAATAAAGAATTGAATTGAATTGAACTGACCGTAGGTGAAACGACCGGATACCGCAAATTCAAACACACAGCACAATGTGAAAATGCTTTGCACTACGACAACAAAACCACCATCAAAAAGCAAATTTTATGAAGATTTCAAAAAACGTTTTTTCAAAGATCAAAAAAATGAAGCACACCTTTCTATCTTCAAATGTTTTGCGCCTTGTCAGGTAGATCTTTGAGCTGAAACACTCCCGTTTTCAGCCGTTTTACCCCTAGAGAACACGCAAACTTTATCATTTGCCATTTTTTTCACACTCATATGCTTCCTCATCATTCAAAGACGCAGCTGCTAAGGTACTGTGGGACAAGGTCATTTCTAGGCTTAGCAAAGAGCTGAAAAGCGACCCTGATTCGTGTCCCTTGGTTTGGGCGCCATGTTGAAAATTTGGGTGACGTCATCATATATCCAGTTCTGGTTGTGGCCCGGACTGGTCAACGCAAATTAACATCTATTGTCGCCTGCGTTGCTGGTACAACGCGCTCCGTAAACGCGAGCTGCAGTGATGTTATTAAAGTCCCTCTATTTTTCTCGCCCCCCTCCCCCTAGAGCTATATCCCGGACGCGCTATATCTCGACAAGAGAGGATAAAGGGGCTCTCTTTATCTCGACGATCTCACGAAAAAATAGGGGACTTTGAACAGTCTAACGAAATCTATTGCTTCTGATGACGTTCACCTGAACAGACCTTTCCACGGTTTTTTTCAACTTTTGACATAGAAAAGTTAGGGTAAATCCGTCGACGCCATTGGAAAAAGTGCCGTAAAATTAGTAAAACTGCCAAAATTGAAAGTGATTATACGTCTTAAGCGAGCGAAGATAGAGCTCCGGAAAGTTACGAAAATTTACAGACGTTTGTTCGATGGGGGCAAGTGTTTGCCCCAAACCATACCAGGCCTGCCACCATACAAATAGCCTGTGTGGCAGGCGTTAAAAGGGGAAGGGGAAGGGGGGATTTGGGCGCGCGTGGTCTCGCGCCCTAATTCCCTTCCCCTTCCCTTTCAAACGCCTGCCACACAGGCCACCATAAAAACGTCTGTAATGTTTCGTGAATTTGAGGCCGCTGTATCTTCGCTCGCTTAAGACGAATCACTATCAAATTTGGCAATTTTACTAATTTTAGGGCGCTCTTTCCAGTGGTATCAACGGATTTTGCCAAACTTGTCTATGTCAAAAGTTGAAAAAAAACTGTGGAAAGGTCTATCAGAAGGGGGCAATATAAGCTCTATCGTAGTCTCAGAGAAGGAGAACTTAAGACTATGTTACCTTTTGTTAGTGGTGACACTCAGTAGCGTTTCTATGTTGTTCTACACGTATTTTTGCATCTCTGGGCATCAGTTCCTTTGCTATATTAGGTTTGCTAAGCCTTGATTGCATCTGCGTTGGTTTATTTGCTTAGTTTATGTCCCTTTACTTTTAGGGACGACATGACCGTGACTGAATATTATAAGATTGCGAACTCATTAGCTTCAAGAATCAATGGTGTCGGTCTTCATTTATGCTTTCTATAGTAGTCACTGCGTATTCATTTGCGCACGACATTGACTGTACACAGTGATTTCTAGATTCCGGTAGGACCCTTTTGTTTAACAAACGATTACCATATTTTTTTGGACGTGTAACGAATAGCTTTGGCCCCAACTTTTCCTGAAGAGATGTTAATGAGTGATTTTTATAACTGGATTCAAAACGTGACGCTTGTGGCCATTAACCCCAATTAAAAAACAGTTTATATTCTTTCTTGTGTCATCTCTTTCGCAAACCAGTAAACCGCAATGCAGAGCTATCGATCGATTCTTGGACTCAGATTGAACAGCCTCGCAATAAAAATTGAATTCGGCTGACCGCTAATTAAAAAAGGGATCGTCTACAGAGGAGGACATATTCTACATATTTTATACGAGGTCAAGTCATATACTATAAATAATGTCGGTTACTTTGGTCTGAAGTAGTCGTTTTTCAAGACGTCAGGAAGTGCCATCGCAGCCGTCTCCTCGTCCTAACCCCTTCAACAGGGCTGCCCGGCCGCCTCTTAGGGGAGGGGGTGGGGTGAGGAGACGGCTAGCCCTTTAGACTATTTAAAACCAAATCAACATAGTAAGGCGGAAGTAAAAGGTGATGTCAGACTTACTATGTGTTAAAAGTTTTAAAATGAAGAATTACTTGAAAAAGGGTTTCGTCTCCTCCTGTTGGTAACTAAATTTTGAAAATGGAATACGCAGAACCTTCAGTATTCCAGGGATTTTATCTTACTTTATTCTACTCCTAAGGTACTGTCACAATTCATAAGTGCATCGCACTTGATAAAAAAGCTGTCGCATTTTGTAATAACTGTCCATCGCGCTTTGCCTGAATCAGCTACTGTTGTCGCAATTTGCAATAATTTCATCACAATCGGGCATTTTTCAGAAAACTACTAATTCTTTTTAAAGTCGACTTTGATGTAAAACGTGTACATGTGAAAAGGACAAAAGTAGTTTTTATTTGTTGAAAAACACTCGACTTTTCTACGAATATTACTAAGCGAACAAAGAGCAGCTAAATCAGAGGACAATCATGGCATGTGCCCTTTGTGGGGCTAATCATAGCCTGCGTAGCAAGCGCATGGAAGTAGTGGACACAAGAAAAAATGGGCGCGCGAGAAGGGGACACGCGCGCCCGTTCTCTCTTTCGCCCACTACTTCCAGGCGCCTGATACGCTGGCTAGGCTAATCAGCGATCTCAATGCAAGTTCAGTGTAAATTCACTAAAACTTGAGTTGGCTTCACCCGCACTTGAAGCTTAAAGGTAGTTTCAAATAATCACTTGATTCCAGTGTTTTACCCTAGTTTTTGGACTATGTAAAGAATTCATAGGCAATGCAAGTTCAGTGTAAATTACTAAAACATGTGTTGGCTTCACCACTTGAAGCTTAAATAATGACTTAATTCTAGTGTGCTAACGTAGTTTTTGCCTCGTACACGCCCAACAGAAAACTCAAATAGTAGATAAACCTCAACTTTTATTAAGCAGTTTAGTTGTACCCGAGATCTGAATTGGACATGTTTCCTGTAATTTACTGCACCGGCATAGTCTAAAATCTGGAGTGGACCGTGGACTCTGGACTCTGGACTCTGGATAAAAAAAAAATAAGCTGAAAAAAATGACCAAAAAAAATTATAGCCAAAAAAAGAGAGAGAGAAAGAAAAGCTAGTGCGTAAGGGGTTATAAAGCTAAGCTTTTACTCCCTTATAAAATGTCCGCTTATATGCGCCC